GGACTGCAACTGTTCAGTCTCTAATTTGCATATGTGCATGCTGTGCGTATTGCCTCGATATAACCTCAATTCACAAGCATAGTAAGCAAAGATGGATAGTGGCTATCAGGACTCAGTAGCCAAGTGGATAACGCGATGTCATTTGAAGCGGACGGTACTGAGTTCGAGTCCCAGAGTGAACATCAACTCTGAGATGCAGGTACATCCAGCTGACGAGTCCCAAATAGGACGAAACGCGAGTCAAACTGGATTCCACTGCTATCCACTATCCATCTTTGCTTAATATGATTTTAATTTTTACATAGATTCTCCTATCTACTTACAATTTAAAGCAGTTATTGTTTAAACCCTTACAAATGAATCACACAAACTGTTTCTTTAAAAAAAAGAGGCACGTTGTTATGACTGGTGATTGACTGTTATGACTGCATCACCAATTGTTATATTTGATCATCGCTGATTGTTATGTCAGAATCGCTTATCACTTATACTTGTAAAGCGAGGAACCACTGCAATTCCCACGACACGAAAGTAAGAACACAAAGACTGATAGAAGTGAAGATTTATTAACCCTAAAACATGATGACGACTCTAATCGAAAATACACTAGTTTATATACTGATTTGTACACCCATTTTGATTATTAATCAGGATAAAATAACATATATGACAAATATCCAGAGTTATAACAAATCATATGTTACTGAGAACAGTCCATGTTAATAATACCACACTAAAAGAAATTAATTGTATACCGAATAAAATATCACACTGGGAAACAAACACAAATACTACATTGAGTATTGATCATAATGAATTATACATAGGAAAGTAATGTCGAACAAAAATAATAATGAGTAAATCAATCTAATTTTGACTTTTCTTCACATATATATAACTTAAATCACATTTATAGAGTAATTCTTGGTCGAATTTGAAGATATCACAGATACAGACCAATAGAAGGTCAACAGATATACAAAAGATCTTCAAAATCCCTCATCCAGTTGACTACGTATTTAGTTAGTTAGATGAGTATTCTAGAAGAAAAAAGACCACCATGGATAAAATGGAAACACTGAACAACCGATTCGTCCTATTGCGGGACTCCTCAGCAGTGCGCATCCACGATCTAGGTTTTCCATGGTGGTCTTGTTCCAAGTGACTCATGATCTCAACTATTGAAATAAGTTTTGATAAAAACCAAGAAAATAAAAAAAAACATTTTATCCAAGATATCCAGATATTCAAAAATGAAATCATTTGCGACTGTGAAAAATCAACAAATTTGAGTTTTATCATCAAAAAAGAATTAGCAGGAATATACCAACAATTTGATTTACAACGTCTTTGACAACATAAAATTCACAGTAGAAAAAGAGTTGAACAACAAACTAATATTCTTGAATGTGTTGATCATCAGAAACAATACAGGAAAACTGGAGATTCATAAATATCTGAAACAAACTGAAGTGGATCAAATCTTCAACTATAATAGTAACATTATATGTGAAAAAATTATATTTGAAATAGTCTCAGCGATTGAAATTTAAATAATTCCAACGTTTCGTCCAGCTAACTTGTCTGGACTTCTCCAGGGAAATAATCAAAATCAAAAACAACAAAGAAATATATTCCTATTTTACTTCACATAGAAACATTTCAACACTGAATATCATTCATTAATAACTCATCTTACACATACATACATACACACAATTCATGCAGTCTCGTTTAATTCACATCGTTGAACTTTTCACTTGATTCTCATTCAACTGACTCATATTATCCTGTTTACAAAAACTTCGACATCCAAATATGATTGGATTAAAAAGTAGTAGAGATTTTGATATGATCGTAAAAAACACTATATATTTCTTTGATGTTTTGATTTTGATTATTTCCCTGAAGAAGTCCAGACAAGTTAGCTGGACGAAACGTTGGAATTATTTAAATTTCAATCGCTGAGACTATTTCAAATATAATTTTTTCACATATAATGAATTCTCTATATTCGTCGCCCAATTATTATCAAACTATTCGTTCTAATCTTGACGAATATTCGTATACAATAGTAACAAACCGAAAACTCACAACGTTAATTTATAGGACAAACATATTAAGAAGTATGTTTAATGACGATTTTTCAAAAAAAAACGACCATCCAGGCAACTTGGTCGAGATTACTGAAGCTGTTTGGAGTAGGTGTAGTGCATAAATCAACAAAATTACTTCAGTCAATCTCACGCATCCAAAGGTCAAAACAACCTAGAAGAAAATCCAAACACAGTGAACTGTTCCAACTGCGAGAAATATTACATCAAATAAGGTGCGAGACCTTTTTTCGTGTAAATGAACACTAACTGGCAAACACTGTAGTGTATCAATGCACGTCAATAATTGTGGTTATACATTCAACTAAGATGTCGAGGTTTTGGACATAAGAAATATAAAGAGTGGAGAATTTTCAGAAGCTAGGCATTCAGATTAGTGAGCAATCAATAAACACACCGAAATCAATTATATTGGTCAACCGTTTAGAAAAATCATGAGCCTATAAAGGATCAAGAGTTAGGTCTAAGGAAGAGACAAACAAAAGAAACATACAGACAACAACAAGAAACTAGCCAACAATAACCAATCAAGGTCAAAAACGATGGGACAAAATGTCAATCATTTGTGGATAAATTCGAATACCTCAATTATACCTGATGTTTGTGTTGATGATGTTGTTCAGAAGAACAGAAGTAGCTTCGTGATCAAACCATTCAGCTCAGAAGACCAAACATCCACCTAAAATCATCCATTCAATCTAGAAATCTTCACCTACGACAATTATTACTTAAGTTAATAGAATTAGGAATAACACTATCAACCTCAATTAACACTTTTCTATAAACATGATAATATGTAGCAAATAAACTCATAGGCTTTAATGATAACTAACATTCTAATTCCTAGATCGCAAACAGATGAATGGGGTCCACAACATGAATGATTTCATATAAATCCGTTACAGGTATCGTTTTTCGTCTATGCAAAATTTATAAAGTGGAAAGAATTGCATACTACAGGTGTTCATGGAATTGGCGATGAATAGTTAGCAACTTAATTTATCTATTAAGATGAAGATGTCAATTACAATACTCAAAGATATTATTCAATTAATGAGCTTACTAGAAAAATCAACTCCCTCAAGATTGTAGGTACACCTTACTGATAAGTACCGACTGACACAAAACCATGATTTAGGGTTTCCTATAGACCACCAAACACCAAAACAAAGTCTAAACGATGTCAAGTCACTTAGACTAGTGACCGTATTACAGCTTGACAGATAAAACTTGTTCCGAACCAACAACTAAAAAAACTAAACGTTGACCATAACTCAGTAGTCAATTAATTTAGATGAGTCTAAAACTGACAGATTGCATAACAACTCATGATAGAATTGAAACAGTAGTGTTAAAGAGTTGGATTTTCATCAATATTTACGTAAGAAACTAAAGTAATCAACAGTAACAATAGTTTGATGAGAGCGAAAGAAACTTCGCAGAAAATGTTCAATGCATCCAAACTATACACCCGGTTTCACAACTGTCCAATCATAAAAGCTTAAAGTAAAATTCACATAACTGTCTAAATTAGTTTGGCTCATCCATGTACATTTTACGTTTGAAATGTTTGTGCACAACTTGTTAAATCTAACTCAGAATTAAACAAGTTTATTGTCAAATTTACGAACATCGTTCTTGATGATAAGCAGAGTTGGATGGTGGCTAATAATAAAATCCAAAACACTGATTTTGTCCGATGTGTGAGTCACCAGCTGAATGTACTTGCAACATTTGAGTTGAGGTTCACTCCAGGACTCGAATCAAGTACTGTTCGCTTCAAACCCAACCTCATTATCCACTTAGCTTACGATAGACCACACTTCTTAACATAAATAAAGAGTTCACAATTGATTGATCACTGGGTGGTGATCAATGTCATGCGTGTCAAGTCCTTCTTAGTGCTGATCGAATGCTATCGATTAAGTTGCAATGTGGCTACTAGTCTAAGTGGCTCGACACTGCGTGCACTATATATATTGAGGTAAGATGGTGGTTGGAGGTGGTCAAAAGGAAACCCTGGACCCGGGTTTCGTGCTACTTGACACTCGTCAGCAAGGTGCACCTGTAATTTTGAGGGAACTGGTGCTCCCTGACGGATTCGATCCCGTGTCACTCAGCTTCACAATCAGAGACGTTACCACTGAGCTATTCGGGCGGCGCAATGTCGAGCCACCTAGACTGGTGGCCACATTGCAACTTGGTCGATAGCATTCGATCAGCACTAAGAAGGACTTGACATGCATGACATTGATCACCACCCAGTGATCAATCAATTGTGATTACATCTCAGTCCTACAGGAGGTCGGTCGCGGCCAGGGAGCATCAGTTCCCTCAAGATTACAGGTACACCTTGCTGACGAGTGCCAAGTAGCACGAAACCCGGGTCCAGGGTTTCCTGTTGACCACCTCCAACCACCATCTTACCTCAATAAATAAAGAGTTTGAAATCCTATACAGATGAGTTATTCTTCATAATTTAGTAAAAGATTATGAAAGGTGTTTATGATCATCATGCGGTATATACCACTTATATCGACATAATTAGTATATAAAACCAGGCAGAAGTGGAATACTTGGCAGCAGAAGTTTGGAAATATCGAATAGAAAAGAACCGGAACAGAGAGTAATTATTATGCTAATGAAGGACGAATGAAGTTTCATACAACTGATGAAAGATTTGGTTGCCTCCACCTGTGTTCTCCTTCACTACAATCATTGAATTAATAAATAAAGAACATTAAATCTGTCTGAATTAAACATTTTGCTGAGTGATTTATTACTAAAAATTTAATGTGGTATGTTTTTTGAATGTTATTATTTATATTGGTGACTTTACCCAAATATTTATCTTCCTTTTCTTAAAAAAATGTTTAAAACACGAAGATGATGCTTTCTTGCTTGGTTTTCTACGTTACGCGCATTATGATCATTCCGTTGCACAGAAACGCATTGATAATTTCTGTAGTATACGTTGTTTAAGTAAACATGGGATTACAGAATGGTATAAGTATCCGAAATTAACTGATCCCATTGTAGACATATATTTAGATGCTGGGTAAGTGAATAGTTTTTCTCATGATAGTTGAAATTGTTTAGTTTGCAATTTACATCATAAAATGGCTAATTAGTCCAAAAGTTGGGTGCTCTCTCTGAGGCCCGAAAGATCCTAGGTTCTGTCTAAAAAGAGCTTGAGGATCTCCACCGCTCTAAAGTCCACATCCTTGAAAGAAATAATTTTTCACAGTTAGCTCTTCATTTTACACTGACTGCTTCAGACAGATACGCTATTGAAGCATTCAAATTACACAGTGAACAAATAGATGATTTGTAGCCAATATTAATCATGAACCAATATCAGATGAACAATCAGTGGTAACTTGATTTCATGTGTTCTTTAATATGTGACTGAACGTATGATGTGTGTATATTTCTGTTTTGTCTGTCTGAGCATTGAAAGACTGAGATTATCGTTCCTGTTTTGAATAATTTACATTTTCACTAGCTATACCAAATATATTGTCCTACAAACCATGGTAATTGGCTCCTGACAATAGGTGAATAAGTAATACCTGATACATTACTGATCACAAATTGATCATAAAAGGTGATGATATGCAATCAAATCAGTTAACAGATTCTTCAATAAATCATTGAAAACCGATTTGCATTAAGTAGATACTTTATTTTTTGGATTTCTCGTTTAAAACTCCTAAAGAACTCAACAATAGGGTCTCCGCTTCTCATGGTGAACATGGTAACGTCAATTCATTTAATCAGAAGTCAGTAGTCTACATTTCCAACTCCAATCTCTTTGCCAAGTGAATACTAACGACTAGTAAGTTACTGTTTCTCTGTACATTCAGACAACTTCGTAAGTCAAAAATCCCGACGAGAATTTCACAACATCCATCTTGGCGATGACAACTCATAATGAAAATTACCTTTAAAATATGTGAAATCTTCACTGAAAAATTTAAATGATCAATAATTGAGCCTAAGGTTGTATCGCAACCTAGATTTTTATTCAATTCCAGTCATTACTCATGTATTACAATGACAACATAAGAAAAAATAAAGTCTACCAATTACTTCACATTAATTACTCATATTCATTTAGATACAAACCGTATATCTTTCTAAGAAATGTATTTCCATTTTTGCGCTGTTTCTTATGGTCATTGTATATTGAATGTTTTAGTTTGAAAGTTCCTTGTTTAAGATTTATCAATCATTAAAACGTATATCTTATTCGTTCTTTTTAAATCAGCATTCTTGTTCCATTGGGTATCGTAGACAGTGGAGTACATATTTTTATACTCAGGTTGAGTAAGTTTCATTATGGCAATAAATAATTTTTTATAGAGGCTTGGCAACCTGATCTTTTATCACAAACACAAATGAGAGCTTTAAATAATATGAATTTTGAACGTTTTATATTGGATGAACAATGTCAAATTGGAGGAGTCGGTATTTTCATTGATTTATCAGGAACAACAACTAAACAAATTAGTGAATGGACTGATCCAAGAACAGCTAAAAGTTCTATGAAATTATTACAGGTAAATCAATCTCAAAAAAGGATAAGTAATTGATTATTTTTTTAATGATAATGTCTTTAATGAAATATATAAAAAAATATGAACCCCACTCCTCACATCATCGAATTCGGTTTGCTTAAAAACAGCAATAGTTGTAATCATATGCTGACTGCTGATTAGTTTCAAGGTTAAACTTCCCTATAGAACCAATAGAGTCAAGATTATGATAATAAATCGTCGATTACATTCGATAAAATTCGCGTAACACCACAAGTTTACTAAATCCACTAATACAGATCGTTAGTTCAAAACTATTTCGGTAGAAGAGAAAACTAAAGGTTTTGTGTTCCTGCACTCGTGTATCTGCTTTAATGGAAGTCTGAAACTAATATAAAATATTTAATGGTCGAATTCATGAGTCGATTTAAGTTAGATCACTATGAAAAACCTGTAAGCACTGGGCGGCCGTTTCGTCCTAGTATACGACTTCTCAACAGTGTGCATCCACAACCACTCACGTGGGACTCGAATCAAGGACTCTCGGTCTCGCGCGCGAACACTTAATCGCTAGACCACTGAGCCAGCATCTGACGGTGTTAATGTCTAACTTCGACCAATCCACGATAATGCGCGACCTTCCACCATTGTTTTCAGTGAATAACTGCCTCACAACAGACACTGTTGAACTCCATTGGTCATGGTATCTTACTAGAACTCCATGAAATCCATCTTGAAGCCAGTCACCAATGACCATATGTTGATTATTGTCGGAATGGGGATTTGTGGAAATTGTAGTAATTTAATAGTTATCCACGTCTCAGTGATTTTAAATTTTCCTTCAGCTATTGTGAGTTCGTGATCAGAATTATTTAGAAATATATATACCACTGATAAACATAGGTTTTTTTACAAACTATTCACAAGGTAATTCATTAACGAAGTCGAAATGAAATTCAAACTCAAACACTCGTTTTAAGTGATTTTACGTAGTTGCTAAGACGCTTTAAATAGAAGTTTCTTGATGGCTGCAACTTCAATCTTCTCTAAGAGGATTAATCATTGCCTATCATTCCTAAATGGGATCAAATGAGGCTAAAACATCTCAGTAGTAAACCATCTGACCGTGAAGCTGTGGAGAGCATTGTTTCCTTAAGTTTCCAGATGTTATATTCTGACCAGTGGTAATCAGCAAGAAACCTTAGGTTTCCTGTCAGTTTCCTTAGAAAAAGTTAGAATCCAAATGTATCGCAAGCAATCTCACTTATACCAGCGGCCAAACTGCAAACTGATTGATAGAATTCAACCAATACCAAGGATTAGACAAACATAACTTCAATTACCACTCAGTTATGAACCAGCATGCCTAATTATCTTTCTACACTATCACCACAGTAAGATCATTGGATTTAAACGACTGATATAAAGCTTCATTAACTAACTATTAATTGCTAATAGTTGCAGCTTCATTGTTTTGTGGAATGAAAGACTATATCAGTCAGTAGTGTTTTAACGTAACTGTTACGTTGCGAAAGTATTGCGTTTTGCTATAGGACTAAGCGAATTTCTACCGATTGAACAAATTCAGATATCCTAGTACGACCTCACTACCGTTCCCCAACCTCCAGTAAATCAGAACACAGCCGTTAAGTGAGAATTGTTTATGGGGGTCAGAAGCAGGACAAAAATGATTCACAGATAAGGCATATTTATACAGTTAAGATGACTATGAAGAGTAACCAATGGAAAGAAAGGACACGTAAAGGTTTGTAATTAGGACAATTCAAAATTGACCAATAGGAAAACGACACGTGAAAGTCATAGTTAGGACAACAGTAAAGAATGATCAATAGGAAATAACATACGAAATATGTGAAGAGTCTGAAAACATACCACTTCACGTTCGAGATATTTTTGGGATATTCCTGTGAATATCCTAACAGTAACCTATAAGCTATATGTCAAAGATTCTCAGTTAACTCCTCGTTATGCATTAATTGTATTAGATCCAACTTACAATATTGACAAGTTGATTTTCAGTATGAGGTTATATAAATTGTTGAATTTCATTGAATGATCATCTTCCATTGTGTTTGGTGAACGCCTTCCTCACATCCGACAGGGGTTGGCTTCACTGGTTACTGCTTCTCGCTAGAACTCCAGAAATTTCCCTTCAAAACAATTCACTGGTTACCACATAATAATTTTCAGTATGGAGCTGTGGTAATTGTTGAATTTCATTGAATTCATTAACCGATTTAAGTTAGGCCATCAATGAAAACCAGAAAGTACCGCAAGGTGTATTGGATCATGGATACTTACTGATGAGAAGTCTCATACTAAAAATAAAACGGCTGTCCAGTGCTTCCAGGTTTTCATTGATGGTCTAACTTAGATTAGTTCATAATTTCAATGAAATTGATAATTTATGATTTTCGCTTTTATCAACACTAATTTATCATATAAATAATGAATTATCTCTGTCTGATTTTTATTTATTCTAGGAAGCTACTCCTGGACGTACTAAACATCTTATATTTTATAAAGAATCGAAAGCATTCGATATAGGTTTCAAAGTTTTTGAATTTTGGTTAAGTGATAAAATGAAACAACGAGTAAGTTATATTCGTGATATTTTCCTTCATGCTATTCTTCTTTTAATTAGGTGTACAATAATATTTATAGCTCGACGTAGTAAATTGGTTGAATAATAAGTATTGTACTGTTAACTGAATAGTTGATACAAGTCTGACTGTTTTTGGTGCCAATTCCATGAATTCATTGGTTAAAGCTTTTGTAGTTCACCAGTGATATGTAACGAGATAAAATGTTTGTGCAAATTTCTTCGTAATTTCAAAGTAGTCTTGATTGTGATCTAGTAATATGCCGGTTGATAATCTTATGTAAATGGCTCTGAGAAGAGTTCCCGAACATCAAACATATCATTGATAAGACGGATATTACAGATGATACTAACATACAGTTATGCCTCATCATCTCTGAGTGTAATTAAGAATGTGAACCGCAAGATATCAACACTGTACTATAAGATTATCATGCTTATGTGAGACTTGGAGGTCTTGTATATAATCTAGTGTAAAACAAAGGTTTATACAAAGATAAATTATGTTTTCTTGTTACAACCATTAAAAATGATCGCCTGACAAGTTCGAACCTCTCCGGGAATCGTATTAGTGGAGTTTGTTAATGTTATGTGGTATAATTGAGATAGTTTTATTGGTACAGAAGTTGATGACATCGGCATTCATTCTTTTGGAAAAATAAATTTCGACTCCACTGAGCACTGCATGTTAAATAATCAATTATTTTAAAACAAATTAGTCAGATTTTATGTATAATATCTTTAGTAAGTACTTTTGATGGAAATCCTCGTATTTACTAGTATAATCCATATATCTTTGATTCATGATAGAGTGAAAAACTAGGAGGAAGACACTTTTTCCAATTGAATGCAATGGAGAAAAGGGATCATGATTTTGAGTTGATGAAGAGAATTTAGAGGTTCGGGATCACGAGCAACTACAAGATCAAAAATTATGTTAAAGAAGAAGACAATTAAAATAGATATACAAACAATAACAGGATAAGGGTCAACAGTAAACTGTTAAAATCAAGGTTGATTAAACAAGCTACTAGTTATAAATCGAGAAATTCAAATAAATCACTTCTGTTTGGAGTTTTGCTGATAATGTTGCCTAGAAAAATAGTAAAAACTTTATACATAAACCATCCACTTCAGACAACCAACGCTACTGTGAAATCAAGATATTTTAGATTTTTCCTATGAGAAGATTGAAAATCTATGTGTTTGTAATAGTGATAACCTATTTGACTGATTCGAACAATAAATCATCTCTATTACTCCATATTGGTCAAATTTTAACGGTAATTTATACAATATAGTTGTTAAGCTAGAGAATTTAACAGTGCCATTTACTCTGTTTGCAGTTTCATTTTGACCACCCCACTCTCGTAGGTTAACAGTCTGTCAGAAAATAGTTCAGTGATTATTGAATGATAAGTATTTGAATCTCATGAACTGTATCATTTCAGTCAAGATTGTAAATATTATCTTATTGACAAGTATTAACTAGCACCAAAACATAGATCCATACCTTAGTGTTCCAATGAATAAAAGAATTGTTAATTCAAATGTATTTCAGCTAATAACACTTTTCACTATTGTATCTACACATAATATTAATACAACTAGATTATAAGAATTAAAGATGACACAGAAAAAGCTTTCAAAAAGATACCTGGTTTGAAACAAATCATGCCGGAAGAATATGGAGGGTGTAATGGTCCAATTAAAGATTTAATCAGTAAGTGAAGTTACCATTTTTTTTTACATTAGTTAATTACTTATTAACTGTGTTTTTCTATTGAATATTATTGAAATAAATATTGAAGTAGTATCTATACATAAGAGATTAAATCATATTAGATTCATTGGTCACAGTAGTTCAACGGTCCACCTGATTTCTACATTTATAACCTATCTTGTATAACTTCAGAGAACTACTGATTTAGCTACTGCATAACTGATTTTGTTTATCACTATTATGTACAATTGATTGTTTGTAAGTTAATCTATTGGTATAAAATGTAAAATTTACATCTTTCGAAATGAAGGTGAATATTTAATTGTAAATAGTTTTAGTCCAGTTTGATTAGATTTTATGCACACTCAACCACAGTCTATCACGCTATGCAGGGACTGGAGTATTCAAATCAAAAGACTAACTATTTATTGGGATGGAGTGAGAAAATGTAGATTTCTTGATGTACAGGTATCAATACCAAGGCTGGACATGATAGTTCCAAATGAATTGAATTGGGTAAACAGTTAATAATAAATAATTTTTTTGCTATACCCTACTGAGTAGAAAATTTTTATTTCTGACGTCTCGTGACTTAATATAAGCCACTTCTTCAGAGTAAATAAATAACAGAAATTAACACAAGTTTAAACAGTACAAAGGAGACAGTGCATAAATAATTCCTGTTATTTATTTACTCTGAAGAAGTGACTTGCATGAAGTTACGAAACGTCAAAAATACAATTTTTCTACTCATTGGGATATGACAAAAATACATATTTATAATTAACTATTTAATGTATATTTTCGTTAGATTCTACACCGTTCGTAACTAACTGACCAATTACAGTTAGCATCGAAAACCCATGTTAAATAACAATCATTTGTGAGTATTTCCCTTGTCTTCACCTCAACCAGATAATCTGAAGAGTATAAAAATCATACAAATAATAATAAAATATATTCTGAGAATAATTATAAGATTGACTTCAATTCACAAGAAAGAACAGGTTGATACAAATAATAATCGAACATTTCTAAAAGAAGTAAGAGTAAATCATCTGAAGAGATATTCTTATTGAACATTTATCACAAAGATGTTCATAAAGTGAAGAATATGATACAAACTAAATGCATAATCTGAAGTGTTAGTATCTCATAGTACAACAGTCATCAGTCCTGTAAACAAAGAGTTGTATTTGATATATAGTGTAAGAAGGAGATAGGTACGATAAGAAAATGGTGTAGCTACAATGTCGTAAGTGTTCTGAATGTAATTTGTCGTATAGGACTCATCAGTTAGAAACTAACATTTTCTTAGTAAGCAAACTACTATGTTATGTTCGCAAATGAATATTCCAGCGAAGGGAAATATAATTCCCGCTTCAAGGTAAAAAAAAATGATAAAGATAGACTTCTAAATTCAAAAACTGAACAATATAGCACCAAATTCAAAGTAATTTCGCTGAAAATTCTCTGTACACTTTGTTGCTGAATACTTACTGAAGGATATCAGGAAGAAGTAAGTATACGACTCATTAATTCATTATATCGTTAATTAATGCAGTTTGATCTACTGACGTTGTAAATTTTATACGCGTACTTAGTTATTGACCAACTAATATAAACTACCGCTCATATCAGCATATTGAAATTTGACTATTAGACAGTTAAGTGATTGATATATAAGTCAGTGTAACTGTGATATAGTTAACGAACCACTGGTTGAATTAATGATCGTGGCTGTGGTGGATCTGTTTTTGAGGCATAAATAATTTTAGTATGTTGTGTCAATTTATATTTTGTCCATAATAACAATTGAAGACTTAATCTTTATCATCATCTTATATTGTTGTTATTCTCTATTCCTCACTTTTCTAAAGCCTTAGATAAAAGAAACTTCAAGACATTTTACTCACAGACATGTTGCCTAAGTGTTATAAAAGTCGATGAATCTAAACGTCCACTTTCCGCTCAGAATTACATGCGAGAATATAAAGATATGGAAAGTACTACAATGGGTAATAAAGGCACATTTATTTCACTTAATCCTGATGATTAATAACCTACAATTGCTATGTTAGTTAACATTGAATAAAATACAATGTTGTTTGCCATTTCTCTTCCGCCTACTTCATTTGTTTTCTTTAAACTTTGTCAAATTATTCTAATTCTCTATAGAGAAGAATGCCTTTAATTGAATTTCTTATAGTTTTAAAATATCATTCACTTCAAAATAGACTGACATTATTGGAATACAGTTGTTATAATAAGTCAGAATGTGTTCTTCAACATTAAACACAAGTAAATAATTGTGTATGTCTTAATGATTATCTTTTTCTACCCAGTTATCGACACCTGTATAACAAATTAATAAAGTTGAAAAAATGAAGTTTGTATCCTTCTTGGACTACTTTATATTTCAGTGTGTTCAAGTTGATCTATTACGTGATTCCTAATTTTGGTTTACGAAAGTCTTGATATCGATCTACACGTCACAGTCATCAATAAAATGCAATAGCAATGTATTTAACCAGCTATACGTGGTTGTTTTTCCTATTTCTGCTTCCTTAAAACTTAGTCAACTAAATTTCAGAGTCCAGTTCATGTGGACATAAACCAAACAAAAAGTGATGTGTTCTGAAGTCATAAAATGAGATGAGGTCATATCAGGTATGAGGAAGACTATCATTTTATACTTCAAAAAATCACTAAAATGTCTATGAAAAATCAAGTTGTCTACCAAAGTTTTAAATTCAGTCATACAAAAATCCATTCGGGGTTAAATATTATGATATACTGTCTTTCTAACACTCCTTATAACTAATTAGATACCCACTTCTTAAATATTACCAAGATAGCCAGTTCAACTGCCCAGAAACTGCCTTGAGTCGAGAACAATAACTTTAAGCAAGCATTCGTAAAGCAAACATCATCTGATCTTGAACATATTCAGCTAGTACTTTTCTCTGGTTAATAGTCAAGTTTGGTGTTTTAATCATAACGCTGTTTCCTGAATAGTCCGGTAGCATGTCTCACTCTTAATTCGCGAACAAGTCTTGACGACTTCATTCCAGATTAACGTAATAAAATGAAGGTCAGGTTCCAGGATTAGTGAAGTAATGCTAAGATTTGGCTGAAGTGACTTGACAGAAAATGCTGAAACTACTACTGATATGTATGTTTGCTGTGACAATGAAGAAACTGTTACTCTTTAATCGTTAAACAGAAGAAGACGGACATTGCTATAGGAGGAGAACGTAAGACTGTATGTAGAAATTTAATTATTCAACAAACACTAATTTCATCACTCATTTGTCACTGATCTACAACTGATTAAAATGACATTGAAGCGTACGATACACGTATATGATTGTAAATGTCTAGACAGTAGATAAATTTAAATGTATCGAACTGTCATTAGTTAAAATTAGTCAGTCAGTAATCTGATGTAAGTATACAGCGTGGAAAACCAATAGATTGGCTGCCTTAAACAACAAATATAACTAAGTTATTGAGTTATACATTTTTCTCCTTCATATTATTATCAAAATCATTCTTTACTGTTGAACATATCTCAGCCTCGGAAAATTAATTTCTGAATATAAAGTTGTTTACCATGACTAGTCAATGTTAGGGATTGTAACGAGGATTACTCCATTAGCTTCGTGAGTTCAGTACACACCAAAGTTTATCTATCACCTATTATCACTGTAACTTAGCAATCGTTTTCGCAAAACAAATCGTCGATCCAGTAAGATTCAACCTTTCCTCGAAGCGTACTGAGAAAACAAGATAGCCACACCACCAAGTTAGAGTTGAACGGGGTTAGAGGCCAATGCTCAGTTTTGCTTTAATGTATGACACACATAAGTTAGATAGTTACACTACTCAAATAAACTCGGATGAATTGAGACTATTTATCAAAATGTATGATGAAGCCCACTTTATTGATCACAGGCTTAAAATATACAAAACTACACTTAGAGCAAATAAAGCGACCTATATTTATCTTAACGAGAAAATTTTAAGCCACCTCCCATTCTTATAGCATGTTAGTGTGTTCCAGAATGAATCGTAACGTAAGACCTATTTCAGTAAAATATGGAAATAAATAAGTTCCTAGACCTGAAAAAGCAGAAAGGGTTTTTCATTACTGATAACGTGGATTAAAGTTAAAATGCACAGGACGAAGAACAGTGAATCCTTTTAAACTCTTCTAGGCAACTCACTATCTTCACCCACAAGCTTACTGTAACCAGATTCCAGCAGAGCAGATCCAAACATTTCTTGAAAAAAGACAAGTTAACATGAGAGTAAATCGCATTTTGAGGACGACCCACTAACGTGAAGGGGTGAACCAGAAATAAATGGTTGTGATGTACTTTCTTGAGACAATTGAGAGTAGTCGAATTCGGTATGCTGACTGGCGATTTTTAGGGCTGTCCGATTCGTATCCTCATAGTCACAAATTAGGCCCAATTGAAGTCAGGCTGACACCTGACTTTGAATTTTGTAATTTACATCAGTTGCTGGATGATGTAGAAAGGGTTTATAAATTGGGATAGACATCCTACTGTTAGGAAAAAACCGTGTCCGTAAGCCTGAATTTATGCCACTACGTGGCCCTATTCTGAATCTGAGAATCGAGAGGTTTCTTCCTCTAAACATCAGAAAAACAAACTGTCCCAGATATATATTGTTATATCTAGCCGATTGTGAACGCTATATTCGGGGGATATAACATATATATATATATATATATAAATATATATATATATATATATGGCAAAAAATAGTGGGGTGTATATAAATATTCTGAGGTGTTTATTATCTTAGAACGATAAATTTTTAGATGACCAGACCAGTTATATAATAGTGAAGCCTAGGCTGTGGTGGTGTTTTTCCCTCAGAGTAAATTTCATTGTTTTGATCGTTTTTACGTATCAAAGCTACCATTTTCACCATAATTGGATTTAATTCAGTTAAAGTATTCACCAGGGTTACCACTTTTGTTTTCCAAAGTATTTGACCGTCAGTACTTTTGAATATATTGTTTCTATAGTAGCTGTAAATAAATCCCCAAAATCAATAACTCATTAAGTGTTCGACATTGGGTGCTGACCACATTGTTTTAAGTAGACTTGTTTGACTGAAGGCGTTCGGTCATGCATCCGCACCAGATCACGTTACGACTCAGCGTGGGAAACAGCTCCTACATTCACTAGCCAGATTAGAGTAACCGCTTCTCGATATATTGATAACGCATCAAATATATCTTTCCTACCTCTTCTCATCTGACTTCTGATTTTAACCCACTGGGGAACGATTCGAATATAGAAGGTGTCAAACTAGAATACTGGTCGAATCTTCACTATTATATTTGTTCGCACTTTTGGTTCTAAGAGTTCATGGTTTTCCACATTTCTGGTTATCAGTTTCTATTGTCTCTGGGTATCGTTTACGTCTAGCTTCTTTTGAAAACCTCCGATCGATGACTGGACGGTGAACAACAAGTAATCGCCGACGCCTAGACTGTCGATACATTACGGAAAGTGACAGACGGTGAGACGAGCTTAAAGGATAATGCCACGAAATTTGCACAAATCTAATGCCTGTGGCTTTCACACGATTTAGCAAAAACAGTTGGGTATGGTTGGGTTGTTAGCGCTGCTCAGACGCAAACAGCTTGCTATCCGAGGTCATTTCAGTGGTAATTGCTACCAAAAAGAGTATTGGCAAACATAGTCGCGACACACAGAACAGTACTCCCCCGACCGATATATAAATTAATGTAAATCCACCTCAAATAAACTCAGTATCGATTCATTCACATGGATTAAAAGAGGAAAGACCAACTTTAAAGAGGTCTGTCCTACATGAAAACTCAAGAAGAAAAGTTTCTTTTGTCCCCCATTTTACAAATGGCAGCCAGCGGGAAACGCCCAGAAAACCTAATCGTGAGGCTGGGTCTGTTTCTAGCGGAAAAAACAAAAACCTAACCATCCAGGATCTCACGGTGTGTTTAACGCTACTGTGGTTTCTACTCCAACGAAATTTGGTAAATGTGTACAGGTCGAGAATAAGAAACGATATAAGGTTATTCAAGGAAAGCAACCTTCCCCAAAAAATAGCTGAGGAACGAAAGACTGATCATAGTGACAGGTCAGTTATCTTCCATAGAGTAAAGGAGAGTAAAAGCTCAGAATCAATAACTCATTTTGAGCATGACATTAAGTTTATGAAACAGTTACTAAATCAGCTAATGCCTCAAGATATCTCTGGGGTCACCTTGCTAAAGGTTTATAGACTAGGCAGCCAAATGAACTGGAAACAGAATCAAGCCAGGCTGCTCAAGGTAGTATTTAAATCTTCCAATGAACGGGACTTAATAATACGGAATAGATATAACCTAAAGTTGTCAGTTTTTGTTCATAAAGACATTCCGCTGGCAGACTGTATGAAAAAACGAGAAGCTAAAATAGGCTTCAGATCTGTCACACAAATGCCCAAAGCTTGCTCAATGGGCTATCGGAGCTAGGCGTACAGATTGACTAAACCAATCAGGATATAGTCGCAGTCATAGAAAATTAATAGCATATCTCATTAAAAGAAAACGTGTAAGTTAGTTAGTTGCCGCTTGAAACGCAAAGGACAGGAGCTGCTGATTGGTTTGATCTACCTCAATCCAAGCTTTGAGGTGAATAGGGTCTTGCTAAACCGTCTCAATACTTGGTCATATAGTGGTCGATGTCTTATCCTAGGAGAAGTTAATGCACCTACGGTAGACTGGGAAAATGTGAAAACAGAAAATTTCTTCGAACAGGAACTAGTTGATGTACTTTTTACATGTACCATAGTGCCACATATGAAACAAACGACTAGGTACCCTACGGACTCTGAATCATCCTTACTAGATCATATATTGACTCACTATGAGGACGACGTTGAGAACCTCGATAACATGCCACCCAAGGGTAAAAGTCATCATTCGGTTTTAACCTTTGACTTTTATTTAGTTGTCAAAGACGATCATACGTCTGGAAAGCAAATACAGGAGATACTATACACTCACCATCCTCATTAAATTGGAAATTAGAGCCAGAGCTCCCAAGTAAAACAGCTTGAGATGTATTTCTAAATTTGTACATGGAATTCACTGCACCCCACATCCCTTGGTCTACAGCAAGAGATCCGAGAAACTCTCCACCAAGGTTCAGTAGAGAGGTTATTTCCCCTCTCCGTAAAAAAAGAATGTAGGAGAGATCTAGGTCGCTAGGTACTGATGAGACAAAATCTTAAAATCGAGAGGCTTGAAATATTTGTGACTCGACTCTTAGCAAGTCCATAAGGTTGTACAAAGAAAAAAAATTAAGGAATCAATGGAATGTCCCAAACTCTTGATAAAACTCTTGATATAAAACAAAGAACTAAGAGAAGAGGAGATATTCCAGCACTATGAGGAGACAGTAATCCTTCATTATTAGTGGAGGACGACCATCATAATGCCTAGATATTCTCAGACTACTTTGGCAGTGTATATACCATAGAGGCATTCTTTTCGTCGGTTCATACAAACCCCCCACACACACTGGACACTATGAGAATCAAATAACTCGATGACTATGGTCTGCTAAAGAAGCCTGACATAGGCAAGTCCACGGGATCCGATGAAATGCATCATAGGTTACTAAAGGATATAACGAATTTCGTTACGAACCCTTTAAGCATATGTTCCAATCTATCCGTAAACCAGGGTCGATTAACAAAAGACTGGAAGAATATCATAGTAGGTCATGTCTTCAATGTAGCTACGAGACATAAACCCGAGAACTACAGACCTGTTAGACTAACTAGCGTGTTCGTTACAATTTTAGAAAAGATTATTCAGAAGCAGCTGTTCAATTATTTTGATGAAAACGGATCCTTTCGGAAATGTAGCATGGCTTTAGAATAGGTTATTTCATCAACTAGTGGAATTCATTACCTCAACACGTGGTTAAGGCTTCATCTGTCGACTCTTTTAAGAGAACGTTGGATGGAATAAGAGAGCACCATTGCTAGGACCAACATAGGCCGCCTAGCCTCCTGTCCTTTCCAAACTGAATCTGAGACTGAAGGCTGAACTGCTAACACCATATTGGTAATCAATCAATATTTATCGCAGGGATCAATCAAGAAATTAGTAAAAGAAACTCGTTGAAGTACTCTGTGCTGAAAATTTTATATTGTACCAGGAACATCATATTAAATGAAGCCATTAATAATAATTGTTATTATTCATACATTGTTCATTTTAGTCTCGATATGTCAAGTAAAAACCTGAATGTTCACCAAAAATCAATTAAAATTTTAACCCTTACATCATAAATATGTCTGTCATCTTTGCTAAAGACCGAATCGCCTAATATTATAGCCATCGAAAGTGAAAACTGGTTTGTTTGACTGCATTATCACAAGGTCGTAATTATGGACATCAAGGTTAATATCGACGGAGTACTCAGAGAAGTGTGTGGGATTAATGAAGGAACAACGTGTGAAGAAGTGATCTTCAAGCTTGCACAGATCGCTAGTTTGCCTGGATTTTATACTCTGGTTGCCAGCTGCAGAGATAAAGAAATTACATTATCTCCAGAGGAAAGAATTATAAATTTCATCAAAGAGTATGATAATTTATGTAGTTAAAGGCTAAATATCGTGTAAAGCATGAATGAATTATCCTTAGTGCCAATTTTGACTTTATTTTTATGTGTTTGAGGTAGCATATTCTGGTTTTCATTAAAAGCTTTTTTTAAATGAACTTACAAGAGATAATGCTGTTTTTAACATTAATATTTCTTGTGAACTTGAAAACTTACCACAAAGTAATCTTGTTTCTCTTTTGCATCCTTTTTGAAAAACCGATTAGTAGGTTTTAAATATATTACTATAGTCTTAAACAATTTAGATCACCACTTTGCGACATTTGCGTCTACACTTGTAACTGTGTAGCTATGTATCTAGTTCTATTTATTGATTCAAAAAGTCAGGAAGTTTCCTGGTATTGCCTCTGTTCTTAGTTTTATGAGCTAAGTCGGAGTTCTGTTCTGCTAAACTCCATTTTATTCTATTTGCCTGTGTATCTATATTACAAGTCCTCTTAAGCGAGTCCTTCACGATAGTCAACATTGTCCTGTAGTGTATGAACACTAATTAAATTCTGCCAACATTCACCACCACATAAGCGGAATATTTACGAATTTTTGTCGACATTTTTCATTGAAGATTAGAAAAAGAGTATGCTTCAATAAATTTTCAGCTTTTTAACCACGAAGCCAACTAAAGTCAGTGTAACTCACTGGCCAAGTGCAGTTCCATGCACTGAGTCTTGAGTTACAGTCGTTTTGCTTAAAGGTTATAAGTACTGCCGGGCTTTTCAAAGCTAGAGCACGTTTTCAGTTAATGATGAGAGCCTGAAACAACCACAATTCCATCCACTCACGTTCGGGGTTCGTGCGATAACCATGATCAGTAGTTGAGCACCTAAACGATTCTATGTGCCGAGACACCCGACTTCAGCATTCAAGTCTCCGGCTAGTACCACAATATCTGTTGAATACATTTTTTGTAGAAGGACTGTTAACTGGTGGCAAAACACCTGGTTGCATCCGGGCTGCAATCTGTCAGAGCATAGGTCGGAGATGACAAAAAGCCATCGTTTCTCACGCCGATTTCTTTTCACTTTGATGGAACTTTCTTATTAACAGCACATAACCGACTGTTAGTGGGGATCCAGTCGACAAGTGCTGTCTGAGCTCTAGCGCTAAGTGCGACAACAACGCCAGCAAAACCAGACGAAGGTAGTAAAGGATCCCCGGATAAACGCACGTTAACCAAGGTTTTCGAAGTGACAGGTGGAGAGCAAATTTGTAGTACTTCACTAGTCTTGAATACGGGTCTCGGATAGACAACGGACGTCGATATTAAGACTCTCTAAAGACAAAATCCAACCCTACCTGTTGTCCGATCTGCATTAGTGTGCGAATGTTGAAAGGAGCCAACTTGAATGGTATACGTGGTTGCAAAAAGTGTGTTTCAGTATTCTTATTCGGTGGAAACATTCAACTTTAGACCAGTCAGTGACTTGAGATCGTTTAGATATAACAGGGCTTCTACCATAGGCGAGCTGCTGTATAAGTTGAGAAATAAGGATGCACAGAGTGAGAATATAAGAGAGTGGATAAGTGACGTAGTATATAGAGAAACAAAAAGGAAAATGAATGTGAATTGTCTAAATTTTAATTGTAGCAAGAATAGTATTTCCTGTAGCAATTGTCATTTGATTTGATTTGTGTGTAGGTTGTAATACTGCCTGAGTGCCCAGACCGAAGCAGGAATTTAGATGATGTGGTTCGGAATCGCTTATAACAGTGCAGATTCACCTACTCCTTATCTCCCCCTCGATCTTCGATTCCAGTATTTCTTCATATATATCTTCTCATCCGGTCTTTTTGTTATGAAGGTTTTGTGTGGCGATTTGATTAGAAAAAAATTTCGATTGTCAAAATCGACGAATAGAATTCTAATCAATAGATTAGCCCGATACCATAGTGACCAAGTGATGGCTACTCATGAGGTCGTATTATTAGGAATCAAAGACAAGACCATTAACCAGACGGACAGCTTTTTCATTTAATAAAGTAACGCGCTTATATACAAAATATAAACACCGAATAAGCAGGGTCAAATGTTATAAGTGATTAAGTAGAATTGACTTGTATTTCAATTGTTTTTATATTAACAAGGGCCTGAATTTTAGGCTGAATCTTTAAGATATCATTACTTTTCAAAACCTATTCTCAATGCTCAATATTTCTTAATGTCATCGCTCCTATACTACTTCGATTTATTTTGCTATTCATTTTATTACTGCTAAATCATCATGGTAATGTGGTATGGCGAATTGAGCCAGTACACAACTGTACGTTGATGATGATTGGCAGTCCACAATCCATTTGACTCATCAAAGTTAATATTTTAAACTTGAGTTATTTTCTATAAAATTGATACTGGTGCATTCTGTGCCGCTTGTACTGTATGTTTGTTTTAAAACTTTTCAGAACTAAAGAAAATCCATCTAACATCTGTTTTATTCTTCGTCGATTGGAGGCTGTATCTCCATTCTCTCCAAAAGTTCCTAAAGCATATCCTCCTGTTCCCAATCATCAACCTACAAGTCGTCCTCATCAACAGCCCTCTCGTAGTTTATCACGACGCTCTAACGTTCCAGTGACATCTGAAAACAAAGAATTATGTTCCTCTACTTCATCATCCTTACCAATTCCAGCTCAGCATTGTGTTAGCTCTACAAAGCAATCAAGAATTTATCGTTGTGATCCTAGTTGTGAATTAATTCACTCTTCCTTAATAACCAGTGCTGCCGGTGAAGAAAAATCATATCACGGTACGCTATTCATGTTGAAATGACATTTTGCAGGACTTATATTTGTTTTATATTACTTTCTTTGACAATCATGTTTTAGTCTGCTACAAATTCTTCGTATTTTACCATTTACAAATCCAATCGATTCACAGTAAATCTGTTGATTAAAGTTAATCTTTTTAATATCACTTTACAAATACAAATTCAGCCTAAGAAAAACTTGCAGACGGTCGGACACTGTAATGAATACTGTTGAGTAATATGAGTGTTGGATTAGTGGTTAAGGTAACTATGTTCCAGGTTCGAGCCTCGCTCCATCTACTTCGGCCCAGAGCAAGCAGGTAGTATCAAAAACCCTCTCACTTTAAGTGTCGTTCATTCCCAAACACCTGGCAAATTAGTCTATCTGTCGGTTTTTGTATTTTACTCCTCTTCTTAATGAAACTACTTTGACATGATTACGTAAACACATGTTGTAATATTGGGATTATGGGACCATCTAGATTTTTTGTCAGAGAGCTTATGTACTGGGAGTAGATAACTATTTGCTCTTTTTCTCGAAATATTTCCATAATTTATTTATCACCACTTACAGTAATCTAAGTTGTAATCGGTCGATATGATAAGTAACTACTCTTTGCATACATATTCGCGTACAATATTAAAGCTCGGTTTTTTTGTCTCCACAGGATTGAATTTTTTTCTCTCCATATATTATGATATGGTTTACAAGATTCACAGAATATACTTACATTATGTCCTCCTTTTCTATAAGTTTTATAAACTGAAGTTATTGTTCTAGACGTGTATTCTCGAGGACTATATATGATGTCCTATAAATAATAGTCACGCATTTTGTTTTGCTTTAAACATGACACTACTCATGAGTAGCTTAAGATTATTAGCGGAATGCAACAAAAGTTCTAAGCCATTTGCATGGCACGTAAAAGTAAGAAAAGAGGTTTTTCAATTATAGTCAAGCCCACATTCGCTTATTTTCATGGCATTTTGGAGAATATTCGGTGTGTGTTTGAAAAGTGGACAGATCCATACGAAGATAAATAGCTGTTCGTTGACAATTCGTCACAAAGATTATGAACCGTTTCCATACTGACACGTTTCTTTTTTAGTAAGATATAATTTAATTTCAATATAGATAGAGCAATGAAAAGCCTTGATTATTTTGAAATTCGAACTCCCCTTTTTTATGTGTATAGAAACGACTCTTCGTAATTTTGGATTTGCCCTATGAATATTTAAGCCATTTAGTGTCCTAGGACGATGTTACGACTCGCTATTCTTTCCTTATTATGTTAGTTTTTTCTTTACCTTATTTACTATTATCACTTTATTTTTATTTGACCTTCATCAGTTTTTATAAATGCCTTGGTAAGTATATGTGTTACCAGATTGTCCGAAATGTATAGGAGAATATACATTACGTTTTAGATCGCTGCCGTCTTCTCATCGCTTTATCAAAATTTATGAGACACCAATTGCTTCAAACTTTAATATAGTTTTGTGAACATATAAAATACTTTGTACGCGTGCTTTCATTTTTGTTTCGGAAGATCGATCAAGAGAACATCGTAGAGTAAGTAAAATAGTAGGATATTAGAGTCTTAGTAATCAAGGCGTCCGATTTTTAGCAACTAAGTCCCAAGTTCGAAACCCGCCCCACTTGTTGCTGTTTAAACAAGCAGTTAGTATAAATAGCCCTTTCACTCAGTGTGGCTCATGCCCAAGTACCTGGTTAGTGAGTTAATTCAATTTACATTAATTTATAAATAATGATGTAAAAGGATTTTTGCATTCAACTGATCAGTCTAAGAAATAGGTTGAGACGTGCGTCCTGAATCTCGCTGTTAACCACAATCCAAACTAACTAAATCTACCTAAGCGTTTAAAACAACATTTCAAATTCAAATCAGTTAACACACTGAGTTCAGTGTGCATTAACAACGGTTCCACACTAGAACTCCGTGAATTCCCTCTCGAAATAATTTACTAACTAGCACATACAATTCTTAACTTTATAGATATCTAGTTATTTACGATTTGTGACTGACGACTGGACGTGATGTTTACTGACCGATCAAGATTGATAACCATGTTTTTTTTCTTTCAGATGTTGATCAATATAATCAACTTAAAGATCAATTGGCATATCAAGAACAACAAGTTGAACTCAATCGAATACGGTTGCTTCGATTAGACAAGGGTAAATATTTTGGTTAAATGTATTGTATTTTTTAATGGCATTTTCCAACAATAACTTGAGGAGATCAGTGTGCATGTTTAAAACCGTAGAGATAGACAAAGTGGTGTAATTCTAATTAATATACGGATGACTTAATCATAATCAAGAAAATAATTTTCACCCTTTCTTTTTTCCATGAAACTCGAAGATGAATCAGTTTTTATTGAGACCATAAATCGGTCAATGTTAGACCACCGTTGGAAACCTGGAGGCCCTGGACGGTCGTTTCATTTTAATATGGGACTCCTCAGCAGTGTGCATCCACGATCTTGCGCGCGAACGCCTAGCTTTGAGATTATTGAGTCGGCATCCAACGGTGTTAGTGTCTAACTTCAACCATTCCATGATATTGCACGACCATCTTCCATTGTATTCGGTGGGTAACTGCCTCACACCCGACGCGGATTAGCTCCAGTGACCACGGTTGAAGTTGGATATTAACACCGTTGAATGTCGGCTCAATAGTGTGAGGATGGTCCACAGGTGAAGTGAACTCTAACGGAGCCTCCAGAGGCTCATAAAGAGCCCAACCAATCAGCAATTAAAAGAAGCTATGCTACTAAAATAACGAGATCCTGATTGGCTGTTTAACACACTGCTACTATGGAAACTCAAGGTCTCTTAATTACTATAAAACCCCTGTATTTTTTGTACATGAATGAACTTTGCAGTAAAGTGTTTCTCTCATACTCGTGTCTTCTTACTGGTGTTCAAGTCGCTGAGTAGTTCTAGCCTGGGGTTATCAGAATAAAGCGTTCAATCTACAAGACGTAACAGTGGCGACGGGGAAAAACTACAATCAACTTACAAGACATATCAGTGGCAAATGACAATGAATATTTCTCTGGAGCAATTAGAAGCCTATATGGTGCGTCAAGAAAAGAGGTTTGAAGAGTCCCAAATTAGAATCATGGAAACCCTGATACAGAAATTCTGCCTGTCCGAGAGAAACCCTGCTCCTAGTGAATCACAAGTATCACATACTGATTAAGTCATTAATGCCATGCATGAATTTAATTTTGACGGTGTAGCAGGCATAACTTTTGAGTCGTGGTTTAAGAAGTACGAAGATTTGTTTTATGTTGATCTTCGCAACCTGGATGACGCTTCGAAAGTCAGAATACTTCTGAGAAAACTTGGGACTGTGGAACATGAACGCTACAGCAACTTCAATCTTCCGAAGAACCCACGAGATTTTAGTTTTGATGAAACAGTCAAAACCCTGTCCCAAATCTTCAGAGAACAATCATTTCTATTTAATATCCGTTATCAGTGCTAAAAGTTAACGAAAGAACCTGGAGATGATTGTGTAAAACATGCAGGAACTGTGAACCGTGAATGTGAGAGGTTCAAATTGTCGTCCATGTATGAGGACCAGTTTAAATGTTTAGTAGCCTGCGTTCACCTGATGACGCTGATATCCAGATCAGAATCCTGAGTAAACTTGAACACTGCCCTAAAATGACCATACAGGAAGTGATATATCTTGAATGTTGAACGCTTTATTCTGATCCTAAGGTATTCTGATAACCCCAGGCTAGAACTACTCAGCGACTTGAACACCAGTAAGAAGACACGAGTATGAGAGAAACACTTTACTGCAAGGTTCATTCATGTACAGAAAATACAGGGGTTTTATAGTAATTAAGAGACCCTGAGTTTCCATAGTAGCAGTATGTTAAGCAGCCAATGAGGACCTCGTTATTTTAGTAGCATAGCTTCTAACTAATCGCTGATTGGTTGGGCTCTTTATGAGCCTCTGGAGGCTCTGATAGAGTTCACTGTAAGCCGACTTAACACCTCCCCTTTTTTGAAGATTCGAAGATTAGAGTCTGATTTTTTTTTTAAAAAAAATAATCTGTAATTTGAAAATTCTCCAACATTTTCCTCCCCCACGAAAAAGTGTTGGATCTTCATATCTCCAATTTACAATTAATATGACTTCATTTAGAACACATTTCTCGTATTGAATGCAGAATCCACTAGAAATGAATAGATGATGCTGAACGATATTTGATTTTAGGTCATCGGAATTTGGCTTTTCTGGAACATCTCCATCAAATTCATTAAGATTTTCACTGGAGGATATTTGATAGCTAGGGGAATCATCATCTAATAAAATTGCCTTAGGTTTTTGATCAGCATTTGATTCAACCGACTTATTTTCCTCATCTTCATAAGAATTTTCATCAAAGTTATGTGCACCATTCCAGCTTTCTTGGCCGATATCATGTAACCCGTAGTTTAGTTCTGACTGAAGTTTGTCTTCAGAGATCGGCGGATTCAACGGTGCTTCATTTGACTCTGGGCTCGGGGCTTTGTCTACGGAACCTTCTTTTTCTTTGATATCTGATACTGTCACAGTTTCATGTGCATTTAGCAAGATATTGTCTTGCTCTGAACCGGCCAACTTACCCATTCTGCCTTTCTCATCAGATATGAAGGGAAATGAACCCTCAACTGGGCGTTTTTTGCACCATTATCTGCATTACGAATAATTTCTTTATTTCCTGAAACATTTTGTTTAGTGAAAACTTTGTCCAAAACTGTTTCAAATAGTTGCTGCTGGAAGGCTAGCATCTGCTGTTGCCGGTGCTCTAATATTATCAGCGCCTGTTCTAGAGAAATCGTCATTTTTTTTACTGATAATAATAATAACTCCGAAGATTCACCGGCAATTATTACAGCTTGTTTGATTTCCAAATCACGTCTCGGTTGCTGTATTTCTTTTTGCCAGAATCACCGACGACAACTGTATACTTTTTTCTTTTGCGTACCAAAATCCCCGTCGCCACTGTTATAACTACCGTTTGTGAACGTTATGTTTGCTTCCCTAAGCTAGTTTCGGATCCCCGAGCTAGAACTATACAGCAACTTGAAGACCAGAGAGAAGACACGAGTATCAGAGAAGCACTTTACTACAAGGTTCATTTATGTACAGAAAAACAGGGGTTTTATAGCAATTAAGAGACCTTGAGGTTCCATAGTAGCAGTGTGTTAAACAGCCAATCAGGACCTCGTTATTTTAGTAGCATAGCTTCTAACTAATCGCTGATTGGTTGGGGCTCTTTATGAGCCTCTGGAGGCTCTGATAGAGTTTACTGTAAGCCGACTTAACAAAATGTAAACCATTGGATGTGGACTCAGTGGTTTCAAGGTTAAGTGCTTGCCACAAGACCTGAAAGTCCAAGCTTCGATCTGTGGTGGGGTCCCTTATTAGGACGAGACAACTGTTCAATACTCTTTAGGTCTTAGTGGTTGTTTAAATAGACTCAATTCGTGATGCAAAACTACGAAGTTTGGTGAATCTTTCTCATTGATATAAATAGTATTATAAGAAAATTCGTCAGATAACAGGACAACACGATGGCGTTTGAAGTAAACGGTACTGGGCTCAAGTCTGATGGTGAATATCAACTCTTAGATACAGGTACATCCAGCTGATGAGTCCCAAATAGGACGAAACGCACTTCCTGGATTCCATTGCTAGCCGTCATCCATCTCTGCCAAAAATGCTCGCAAGCGTTTAACCACTAGACTACTGAGCCAGCATCCAATGGTGTCAATGTCTTCAGTGAGTTGATATGTCACAACAGACTTGGTTGAATTTCACTGGTTACTGCTTCTCACTAGAACTCCAGGAAATACCTCGTGGAGCCAGTCACTAGTGAGCATATGATCAATATTATTAGAAGGGGGTTTTGTGGAGATTTTAGTAATTTTATATGGTTGAAATCATGGGTCAATTGAAGCCAGACCACCATGGAAAACCTGGAAGCAGTGGACGGCCGTTTCGTCCTATTGTGGGACTCCTCAGCAGTACGCATCCACGATTACGCACCCGAACGCTTAATCTCTATACTACTTGGTATGTCTTGTAAGTTGAACGCTTTATTCTGATCCTAAGCTCCTCTTAATGGGTTGCTGAAGAAAAGATACCAAATGGTTCTGGTCATCTGAGTGCCAAGAAGCTTTCGTAAAACTAAAACATCTCCTGTCATCAAACCTTCTATTCATACACTGTGATCCAGGCCTTCCTATTATAGTCGCAGCAGATTCGTCCAGCTACGGAATCGGCGCAGTGATCTCACATACCCACCCAGACGGGTCTGAGAAGGCAATCGCCCCCGCTGCACGGTCGCTGACTATGACAGAAAGAAACTATAGTCAGATAGAAAGAGAGGCCCTCTCTATTATATTCGCTTCAAAGAAGTTCCACAAGATGCTATTTGGAAGCCATTAAAGGAGCTAGTGAGAAAGATAACATGTTGAAGTTTGTTCGCCGCTGCATATTCAACAAGTGGCCTTCGTCTAGACTACATAAAGAACTCTCGCAATTTTTCCGTCGACGAGACTCATTGACAGTTGTAGATTCCTGTATCATGTTTGGCCACCGTATCGTTATCCCCAGAAATCATCGAAACCAAGTCCTGAAGCAGTTCCACAGCGGACACCCGGGGATAAGCAAAATGAAGTCGTTAGCTCGAAGCTACGCATACTGACCATCAATGGACCATGATGTAGAGCAAAAGTGTCACAGTTGTTCGTCCTGTTTAGAGGCCGCAAATAATAATAATAATTAATTAATAATAATAATAATAATTAATGGCTTTATTCAATATTATAATCTGGTACAATATAGAATTCTCAGCACGAGTTATTTCAACAAGTTTTTTTTACCAAAAAAAAAACACAAAACAAAAAAAACCAGTAGCTACTGCGCCACCACAGGTCTTTTTATTGTTTGATCGATCCTGACGATAGATATTAAGATCACGTAATGATACTAGGCAATCATCCTGTAAGTCAGTCAACCAAGATTCTTGAATTGTGATGACACCACAATTACGATACATGTTTTGACTTAGCAGAAATTGGAGATAGTCCACCTTGTTAATTAGAGATCGACAGTTAGAGTTAAGCAGCTCGAGAATCGACATTTGATTAATGTTTATTCTCTC